GTTCAAAAACAATGAGTTTTTAATCCGGTATATAACACTCAATTTCTACATCTCCTAATCATTCTGACAGAATTAACGTGTATATTTTACGGCTGATTTCTTTGTGACTTTCTTCTAATCACTAATGTTAAAAAAACAAATTACAGTGTTTAAAATACTTAACGGTTATCAAACCCTTTTCAGAATAAAATGGGCTGGTGATAAGGGCGCTTGCTCTTTCAGCCGCGGGGGGCGTTATGATGTTAAAGTATATTCCACTATTCGTTTATAAAAGAGTATCCTAAGAGTTGGCGGTGATTATTAACTGCTTTCTCTCTTTTCTAGTACTTCAAAATTAGGATCGGCTAGCGTAGTGAATATTACTTAGAAGTAAAAAGTTTTGTAAAAAACGTCTAAGATTTTTCTCGGAGTTGTCAGATGTTCTCGTCAAAGCATGAAGTCCAGATTACTACATTGTAAGTCTGTAAACTAATAATCAATAGGAAGAAACTTCACATTTTTACATTGTATGTCTGTAAACTAATAATCAATAGGAAAAAACTTCGTTGTTCAAACGTAATCGGACTTGATGTTAGGTTTAGTGTATCTTCCAACAGTACCCGCTGCATACTTAATGTTAGGTTTAGTGTCTCTTTTCACCAGTACCTGTTGCATACTTGATGTTAAATTTTGATTGCTAAGCCTATGTAGTAAACATAACTGTAATAGTCCAGTAATAGCTATATTAGAACTCGCTCATTTATTACGTAATTATTATTACGATGTTGTTGTTGAATTATTTTGTTTTAGTACAAACATACACGATATTATCTGCATTCTGTCCACCGCGGGTAATCAAACCTTACATTTTTGTTTAGTGTCTCTTCCCACCAGTACCTGTTGCATACTTGATGTTAGGTTTAGTGTATCCTCCAACAGTACCCGTTGCATACTTGATGTTAGGTTTAGTGTATCTTCCACCAGTACCTGTTGCATACTTGATGTTAGGTTTATTGTCTCTTCCTACCAGTACCTGTTGCTTTGTTAGGTTTAGTGTCTCTTCCAGCAATACCCGTTGCATACTTGATGTTAGGTTTAGTGTATCTTCCAACAGTACCTGTTGCATACTTGATGTTAGGTTTATTGTCTCTTCCACCAGTACCTGTTGCAACAGTACCCGTTGCATACTTGAGTTTAGTGTCTCTTCCCACCAGTACCTGTTGCATACTTGATGTTAGGTTTAGTGTATCCTCCAACAGTACCCGTTGCATACTTGATGTTAGGTTTAGTGTATCTTCCACCAGTACCTGTTGCATACTTGATGTTAGGTTTATTGTCTCTTCCTACCAGTACCTGTTGCTTTTGGAAGAGACACTAAATCCATAAGTTTCTATCTGTCTGCTTTGTTTATGGTTAAACAACAACAAGAATTGTCAGTTGTTTCTAAAATCAAGAAGTCATCAACAGAAAAGTATTGTGCTGAACACTCTTCACTGAACGAAATGTGTTGAGGTTACTAGCGACCGGATTCAGCAAGTGTGAGTACTTGGCTAGAGAACAGTTTCTTTCTTGTCAGGTTTAACCAGAATCCAGACATTAACCAGTAAGTTCAATAGCACTAAAAGGAATGCCTAGATAACCAGACTGTTGCTATTGCAACTACCATTGAAAACCTCAAAGTCAAGGGGGCAATGAACAATCGTGATCTAGTAAAGACGTCCATTGATAAGATCATCCCCTGACAACCTTGCTATTTATTGAGGACCCACTGAAACCTATCTTCTAAGAAACGTCTGATATGAACAGTGAAAAATGTTTGCACAAACACTGTCTCTTCCAACAGTACCTGTTGCATACTTGGTGTTAGACTCTAATTATCAGGGAGACAAATGAAACCTTGTGGGCCTAGTTTTCTTCGTCCTGATTATCAGGTAGACAGATTAAAAACTGTGGGCCTAGTTTTATTATCTGTGCTTATCAAGTAGACAGATTGAAAATTGTGGGCCTAGTTTTCTTCGCTCTGATTATCAGGTAGACAGATTGAAAATTGTGGGCCTAGTTTTCTTCTCTCTGATTATCAGGTAGACAGATTGAAAATTGTGGGACTAGTTTTCTTCGCTCTGATTATCAGGTAGACAGATTGAAAATTGTGGGCCTCGTTTTCTTCCCTTTGATTATCAGGTAGACAGACTGAGAATTGTGGTCCTAGTTATCTTCGATCTGATTATCAGGTAGACAGATGGAAACTTGTGGACCTAGTATTCTTCCTTTTGATTATCAGGTAGACAGATTGAGAATTGTGGGCCTAGTTTTCTTCTCTCTGATTATCAGGTAGACAGACTGAGAATTGTGGTCCTAGTTATCTTCGATCTGATTATCAGGTAGACAGATGGAAACTTGTGGACCTAGTATTCTTCCTTTTGATTATCAGGTAGACAGATTGAAAAATTGTGGGCTTAGTTTTCTTCTCTCTGATTATCAGGTAGACAGATGGAAACTTGTGGACCTAGTATTCTTCCTTTTGATTATCAGGTAGACAGATTGAAAAATTGTGGGCTTAGTTTTCTTCT